GGTGGACTGGTTTATGTTTGTACATCCAATCACAAAACTGTCATTGGAGTTGTGTTGTAGCTGCACAACATGAATTAGCTAAATAATGTTAGCCTGTGGGTTATTATTAAAAATTCCCCATTTTAAGTGTTTATGGATGGATGGGTGAATTGATGGATGGATACATGATGACCAAATGACCAATGGATGGATGAATACATGGATGATAGTTAGAGGGATATTTAAATGTTTTAACCTGTAGGTTAAGCATCAGGGTGAACAGGGGAAATAAAATAGTGACAGTGAATCAAGATACAGTATATTTCCCCAGATGTTCTCCTTCCTGCTAGCTACTTTCTGGTAAAGCTCTGACCCAAAGCTAAAACTCTTTTTTCTGTTGCCCATACTGTAATTTTGGAGCCTTGGGATAGAACCCAAATTGTTCTGTCAGCTATTTTCGCCATTTTCAAAATAGAAAAAAATAAAAACGTGTTTCCAAAGAGATTTTAAACTTTCCAAAGAGCAGCTCGTGAGTTTTCTTGTCCAAACTCTGGTAGCAACAGTGTGTGAGCCCTGAAGTCATTGTGAAGTAATGAAATTCAGGCTTTGCAATGACGTAAGACTCATAGTCAGGATGTGTGGTGAACAGTTGGAGTTAACTCTTGAAGAACAGCTCCTGAGAAAAACAAAATGAACTTCAGCAGCGTCAGCACGAGCCCCAGTCCTCTCTGTGTCTGTGTGTGTGGCTAATTGTTATCTTTGAGGAAAAAAAATATCATGAACAAGGAACCAAGGCATGAAAAAGTATTCCTTTTTTCATACAGACTTATGAAGATGTCAGTTGCTCCCAGCCTGCCCTGAAAATCTGTGTTATTTTCATTTTATTGAAATGTTGCCAGTCAGGTGGGAGGGAAAGCAGACGTTTTGATCAAATGTTACACTGCAACACTGCAGTGTTCTTTATTATACCTGCTTCCTGTGCAGCTACATGTGTGATGTTTCCCATTGCATCTTAAGGGAGTTAGAGCTGGGAGACCTCCGCCCCTCCTTCTCCTGCTGCTCGCTGAGCTACATTGCAAGCTTCAGGTCTGCAGGCATCTCAGCTATTTCAAACAGTGATGTTGTGAGGTGGAAACATGCGAAGAATCTGGATGATTGACCCTCCACTCCCCCTCCATCTACTCCCTCTATCCCTGCTTTCTGTTACCTGCTGAGGGGGAGGAGACGACAGCGGAGGCCTGGCTGCCTGGACGAGGTTATTATGGCGTATCAGTGACACTTTAGGGAGACCTGCTGACTTATGGAGCGGTGCCTCCTGGGCTTAAAAAGGGAGGAACTCTGCTGTGCAAGATGGCTGATGTTGGTTAGAGTGGGAGGGGTTAGAGGTAAAAGCTGCCCTCTTGGACACTGGACATGTCCAAACTGCCTTTGTGAGGACAATAAGAGCCCCATCTTAGCTATTATCAGACCTAGTTCTTATAAATCTAAGACTTATTTCCTTCATCTTGGACCAGCTCTCTGTGTGTGTGTCAGCCTGCGTCCATGTCACCACACGGCTGCAGAGAGGCTATATGGTTTGCATTAGACCCCTGGGCGTGTGTTTACTCCTCACCTCTCCATATACAGTCCCCACACACAGAACCACACATTTGTTTCATATTTGGCACAGGATGTGACTCACCTGCGTTTGATGTTTTAATTATATAGTGTCAGTGATGTATTTTAGAGGAAACGGAGAAGTCTCCCGAAGATTTGGCGTAGTGGAGTTACAATAACATTTAACTGCCATTCATGATTAAGTGCAGCAGCCTGAAGGAAGAGCGAGGAATGATGTTTCAAAGGAGAACAAGTCTGTTTTGTACTCTGATTTTCAACAGTGAATAACTCAGACTTCTACAGAATTCCTAGGGATAAACCAAGGCGGAGGTTCTCTCTGTGAATATGAAGTAGGAAAATGCTATGCTATGCAATGCTATATACTGTAACAGACTGTTGACTGTAGGGAACATAATCACATATAAAGCATGGGATTTTGGATTTGCTGTTTGGAAATAGCTGCCCCATATATTTACATATATTTATAAATCCTAATTATCCTTTTAAGGAGCTAAGTTTATAGATTTTTTTTTTTGGGGGGGGGGAAGTAAGTTATGCCCATTCCCCAATATTTGTTTTGGTTATTTAGCCACATTTGAACAAATATTCAAGAGCTAACTTTTATCACTTTGTGCATATATAATTATTTATGTTTGGCCTTTTTTGTTGATGAGTAATAGGCAGTTTTTCAGTTTTCTTGTCTTGGATGTCATCCAGAAACCAAGACAGTCCAGTTATCAATCAACTGCTTCAGATAAAATAGATGACCAGGAATATACAAAGAGATTTCTCTAATTATTTGCATTAGCACTTAATTTATTTTGGCACTTTTTCATTTGAATTGTTGACTTTTCTCTGATTAGCATTTCTAGGCTAGCCTCATCACTCCTGACAACACTTTTAAGACTAAATGAGAAAAGATATTGAGGCAATTTTTATTCAAACACCTCCATTTAAATAAATACTGGACCCCCCCCCATATTAGATAAAACATATACATTTTACTGCAATATAAATCCTGCTCATGTCAAACTCAAAACATCTAGTAAATATTTTCAACAGTTTGCCATAAGGGAATTATCAAATATGTTTATTAACAGCATCTGATGTTATTACAGTCAGACGAAGTCTCTCAGCAACCTCATCTGTGAGTGACACTGTGGACGATTTCCATCAGCAGTGATGAAGAATCAATAAGTTCATCCAAGGATCTGATGAGATCCTAATTTATCACTCGTGTTTCCAAGTGTTCTTGCCTCCGTCCAAAGGCTGCTGGAACAGCAGGTTTACAGAGGAGAGATGAGTGAGGGAAGATAATGACAGCTTTTACCCAAGACTTTTTTCAGGTTGAATTTCGTTTTACTGGAGAACAGTTGGGGATAAACTGGCACAAGAAAATGGTCTTTCAGGAAAGAGAGAGAAAAGCAGTGGTGGTGCTGAGGGTGGGGGAGTGCAGAGGGGGTGATGGTGGTTATTTTAAAAACATTTCCCACATCTTGCCTCTTCTTTATTTCTAGCCAAACTGTCTGATCCACTGTTATCTGATGGCTTTACTGGTGGAAGCCCGAAACGGGGAGGAGAGGAGAGCGGAAAAACAGATGGAGAACTTTTCATTTACAGCTCGAGACTTTGCCGTCTTAAAAAAGGCTCGTAAGAGTCTGTTTCTAAAATGAAAAGAAACATATTGTCTCTTTGGAATTAGAGCCAGAATTCAGAATCGTCCACAATCCCCATGTCTTTCTAAACACACTTTAACAGTTAAACCGTAAATAAAATCCAGGCTAAAACGGCATGAGTTCCAGGGGAAAGTCGTCGCTTTCTATAAGTGCATGAAATCTGTTTATTTTTAAGAAATGTTAATCGTTTGAATTTTTTTATCCCTTTTCCTTATGTCATCAAGTTGTCATTATGGGCATATGTTGCATGAATTACGGTGGAAATACAGTTAGACTGACATCACTTGTGATGTCCTCTGTTGTAACACAAACAGCCAAAACAATAAAAATCAGCAGCAGAATTTATTCAAAGTTTTGAACTTAAAACGCCACTAAATCTAGGTTCTGCCAATGAACGTGAAGTTTTGTTATTAGGTTTTTTATTATCATTATTATTGATGACACCAATTTATTTTGTAACTGCTTATGCTGAGGCCATGTTGTGCTCATTAAATTTTATACCTTTGAGTGACCTCACTCATCATCTGACAATAACCCATACTGCAGCTCAGTAGTTAGTGGGTTTGAAGTGTCTTTGAACACGGCACATTTCTGCATCTTGGTTAATGACTTATCTCTCATGCAGTATGTAATTAGAGGGATGTAATGAACCGTTTTACATGGGCATTATTATAGAGTATCACGATGATAGCTACATGGCAGTTAAAAAAAATATAAAAATAGAGTGAGTACAAAGAGGTATCACACCACTTGTGCAATGGTATTCAAACATCCGTCAGCGTGCTCAAAACATCATTACAAGTACAATGCAACATAAAGCCAAAGTTAAAGCCAACCATTGAGATGATGCAAAGTTAACAACGGAGACCACCACAGACCACTGACACTAGATTTTCAGGGGCACACTGTTGCTGCTAGGCAATGGAACAAGTATCGTAGCGTCTTATAGGTAATTGCTAAATGTTGCATTTTCCCGAAGCGAACTCGTGAAGATCCATCTATCTAGCTATTTGCTATTTTGACAATTTCTTAAGAATAAAAAACATAGCTGACAGCGGCTAACAGCCTGGCAAACTCCTGGGTTAAGAAAAGGATTGGTCAGTGTTGGACCAAATCTATTGTATTTGAGTGTATGTAAAATTTAGTACTACATGAAAATAGAAATAATAATAATTTAAAAAATGGTATTAAAAAGCACATTTTCTTAGTTTTACAATCTTTGGGATCTCACCATGACTAAGACCAGTCACAAATATTCGATGTATATTTAATATTAATTTAACCATGTGACCAATATCAGGGTTGCGGTATAAGTCTCTTCTCATTTCTTATTCTCTAATACTAGTATCTAAACAAAAAGGAAAAATCCCAAACTAGTAAATCAATTAAATTAATGACAAAGTATAGACCATACACAAAACATAAATACAAATGACAAAATTAAGAAAGTAAGAAAATAAAGTACTAAAGTAAATAAAATTCCCAATAAAGTATATGACACACGAAAGAAGAGAGTAAAAGTGTATACTATAAAGACAAAATATGTTGTCCTCCTTGGACTGCCCCTAAGTACCCACAGTGGTACGCATACCTTATTTTGAGAACAGCTGCCCTACCCTATATGGTGAGTTTGAGATTTTCCCAGCTCATAACGTACTTTGTCCACCAGGGGGCGATGTTGGGAGTCTGTAAGACCACAGTGCTCTACAGTTTGCAGGAAGCAGCTCGAATTACAGTGGGGGGTGCCGGAGAGAGGCTAAGCGGGGGTGGGATGACACCCACTGGAGTGAAGGAGGAGGAGGGCAGTGTGTGGAGACGTAAGGAAGAGAAAAAACCCCTAGTAAACCTGACAAAGCGTCTGAGAAAAAGAGCGAGGACCGTCGGCGGAAGGAGAGGAGTCGCGAGAGACGCAGCAGAGGGACGCACGTTGATGGATCTTATGCCATTTTTGCATCGGACAACAGTCACATTTACAGATTTTTGAAGCACAACTGTCTTCCTCCAGCAGCTGCCAACTTTGTTTTCCATTTGACAAGTGCGCTCATCGCGATATCTGGGCATGTTCTGCGCCCTGGAAGAAACTTGGTGACGCGGAGGAAAGTTTCGGTGGGACAGCAGCAGAATGGTGTTCAGCGCTGTTTTCGAAGGATAACGCGTGTAAACGTGGGAATTTTTTGCATGGCACTGGACTACGCTGCCGCCACGGTGTGGAATAACCCCTCAAACCCGAGTGGATGCCGGTGGATTGTGGATTAGAAATAGGGGAAAAGGCTGCGCCTCTCAGATTGTTTTTGGTGCAGTGTGGAGTTGGAGACATTCCTCCTTCAGGATTCAGCTCATGCTCTCTCTCCTCCCTTATCTGTGCATGCCAAAACAGAGAGCTCCACGGCTATAGTCTTCCCTGGTAAGCATTCACTTCTTTCGTGCGCGATACAAATCAACCGAGAAGCGTGAGGCTTCGTCACAATCTCATCTGACAAGTTTTTGGCTGACGGGACGACTAGACTACGTGGTAGAAAGGCGCATGCTTTGCACTTTTTGCTTTGCATTTACTTCACTACCAACTTTACTCTTGTTCCAACTTCTTGAACTGTTCTTTTTAAAATACGTTTTTTGTAAAGAAAATTGCTCAAAATAATTACAAAGCTTAGCCAACACAAACAACGCGAATCGTGCGTAATTTCATCATCCATACATCTGAGTAAGTCCCTGGTCACTTTCTTGTTTATTTTTGAAGGCTGCCTCTAATGCAGCACCTTGCACCATTCGGTTAGAACCCATTAACAAGTGTCCTGGTTATTTATTGCTTTGCTTAATTTTCTACATTGCATTTATGGTGCCAATTATCCAGTGACCGCAGTTGTTTTTTCACTGCTTGGTGCCGGAGCCCTAAATCACTGAGCGACCCCAAATGAGCCCCCATTGTGGCAAAAGCAAGCTGATTTGAATTTCAATAGGAATTCACTCAGTGCCTTGAAATGTTCATTCAAAGCCCGAGTTTTAATGCGAAGCCGGGGTTGGGGACGTGTGTGGAGCAAAGTCCCTCATGTGTCCAAGTGTCATGTCAGCAACACGGGGAAGAGACGAGTTCGGTGACCAGGACAACTGAGACGTTGACATTTGTAGATCGTCTTTTTTTACTTTATTTTAATGCAATTTGTAATGGCTTATAAAGGGTTAATGTTTGAAAGAAATTCGTTTAGTATTTATATCTACCTCCAAAGACCATGAATTAAAATGATAGTATATATCATATATGTGACCCGTCAGTGTACAACAGTCAGATCACTCCAGGTGAAGACCAGGATAGACCCCTGGATTCACCTGGACCTCTATAGTGTCTATCCACAGTCCGTGTCCAGTGCGTCCCCAGAGGGCAGAGTAAAAACCAGGGTTTGCTTGTTTTCAACCTCGACCTCCAAAAGTCAAAGTACATGTGTTTTTGCGCGTAAAGCCGATCGATGCGTCCAGCTGGGGCGCAGGGAAGCGTGACTTCAGCAAAGCTCCAGAGACACTCGGAGCGCGGTTGAAGCGCAGATGTCTGGCAGAACAGATCCGTGTGTGTGTGTGTGTGAGAGAGAGAGAGTGTGTGTGTCAGCCTGTGTGAGTCTCAATATTGCAAAACTGCGTTTTAATTGAAGCCTTACTTCTCTCCTAATGCAGTCACGAAAAGGCAACGAGAACCAACGCTGTGCTGCAGCCCGGCAGCAGCAGCGGCGCCGGCAACAGGTCCTGGCGCATCTGTTGCCTCTAGAATAAAAACCATGTCCAAAGTGGAGCCACAGTGACTGATGTGACGTCTGCACTGTGTTAGAGATAACTCTAAAAATCACAAGTCACCCGTCGGGAATAAATAGAATTATATTTTAAAACTAAACAACCAAAGCAGTAGAGAATAAAGCCTCAATTGTAGATAACAAAAAACACAAAACCTCATGTCATACTTTAAACCCTCACCATGACAGCAAACTACTTAGAAATGTAATAAAAAGTCTTATAGTTATGAGTTATTGACCCCCGCAAATGCCTATAACAGTGAGTCAGAGTAAAATAAAAATAAACACTAGATTTTAGATAAAAAAAAATCAAATAATACCTTAGACTTTTGATATGCCACAGTATGACATTAAACTACTCAGAAATGTAATAAAAAGTCTTATAGTTGTGAGTCTTTGTGCACATGCCTATAGTAGTAGTATGTGCTGAGGTAAAGGCAGATGTAGGTTGGCTGTGTTTGTGTTCTCACAGCTTCGGTATGTCTGTGGCACGGCTTGTTTGACAGCATTTTGAAACAAGCTGGTGCTTTCTATTGATTCGCCGTCAGTCTCTGTGTCAGGAAACTGAGCAAGAGAAAAAAAACCATGGTACCGTAAAGAGAACTGATCTGAAGTCAAATGTTCTGTTTCACATTCACACCTATTGTATTTGTCTCTTGTGTTCACTCCACAGCCCAGGTGATTGGGTGAATTCCAGTGAGTGACAGGCCGACCCGGCTGCAGTTGATGGTTGGGTGGACACCCTCAGATGGGATCAGTGACCAGGGGGAGGTGGAGAAGCGGGTTATGGGGAGCCCTGTCCCCCACTAACGGGATGGCCTCGTGGGCCTGGCTGCTGGCCGCAGTCCTGCTGTCTCTGCTGACGGTCAGCGCAGCTCGGCCGCCCCTCACCGCCACCAAGGAGGAGGAGGCCGCTCTGGAACCTGAAGGTAAGCAGCAAAAGGACGACCACAGGGGCGGAGATGTGAGGTGACAGCCTTTTGTTGGGTTTGTTTTTAGCGGGCAAGTGTAAATCCACAGGGTGGTCAAACTTGACCTGAGGATTTGGGGTAATGTTCACAAAGTTCCCAGCACTACACAATCAGGACATTTCTACAAACTCATTTTCTTTTTTCAATTTTGAAACATTTAACAGAGGAAAGTGCAACTTTGAAATCTCAAACAAAAATTCAAATATAAATTTAAATAAACAAACAAAAGAGAAATCATCCAACCAAAGCATTTTTGTTTATGCTCAACATAAGGTGTGTGACTTTCACATCTCTTTTTGAATTTCTTTGTCTGTTGTATTTGAGTGTCACCGGTCGAGGTTTGTGGTCTGTGAAGGAAGGTGAAGGGAGGTGGGACACTGTTTATAAAAACCAAAAATCGGACTTATTGCAGCCTATATATTGGGGAAATTGCTAGGTTTGGTGACATAACTTTGCTACATTTGAGTTATTCCTTTTGTCTGTTTTGAGTCTTCTCCACTCTGCGTCTCCAGTCTCAGAGTCTGGTCAGAGACGAGCTAATTAGAGTTGTTGTGATGGATGGTAACTCACATTCCAAAGCCTTTTGTTCACGGGCTTTAATCAGCATACTAATTGTAAGTTAGGGCAACAATAGGGCATCACTTTTTAAGCCTCCACCCCTGTCTCTCTCTGACACACACACACACACACAGTCACACACACTCTTGCCCTAAAGGTCAGGTATTGACCTGACCCTACCATGACGAGAAGCTTTCTTCTCTCAGCTCTTCTCTTTTAGGTTGTTGTTGTTGTTTTTGTTGTTGCGACTTCTGACTGTTCGGCTCCAAACCAATGGCTCTGGAGCCCCATGTGGCTCAGAGGGCTACGGAGAGGAGAGAGTTATTCATCGTTACACAATCCTTTGGGAAAGGTCTAAGAGGATTTGTGCATATTTGACTTCTCCTTTTGATAGAGAGATTACAGGGTGCAGGGCACCAGAGAAGTCATGTGACAGGAGATTAAATGGCTAGACTTAAGGGTCACATGATGAGAAAGCAACAGGGCGGAAAGAACCTCTGCTGCTCCTCTGTTCCACAGTAGTTTGTCTTTTACTGTGATGATGTCGAAAGTCTTTTTCTGCCCACCCTTGACCGTCTACACTGGTGTCACCTGTAGACCCTATATGTGAAGGAGACAGCCTGGCTGGACCGGCCCCTCAGTCCTAATGACGCCCCCTGCTGAGATGTTTTAGATTTCCAAGTCCCTTTCTGCCCTGCAGCCTCTCTCACAGCGTTGCCTGTGTAGTAATCACCGACAGTTCATCAGATTGCATATCAATGTTGTCTCCAAAGGAGCACCCTGGTGCACCCGGCTAGTTTGTTTACCTGTGGCTGCTGTAACACTAGAAGTTGACGAGTGTGCTGGTTAAAAGGCTCCACAACAGGCTTATTGTTGTGGCTGCAGCCACTTCTGCACCTATGGGAGTGTTTACCTTGTACCTGGCAGTCTCCATTTGCACGGCGACTGAAATACTTTGAGGTAGCAAAATAACAACAAAAGCACAGCAGGTGTATGTGTGTGTGTGTGTGTGTGTGTGTGTGTGACATTTGTATTTACTGCTCTGAGGTCTGATTTGGCTCCTCTTTGCTTATAATGTGGAATAATTGTGGCACCAGGCGCACTGGAGCACGGACTGAACTTGAGTGCCACTGACAAAAGTCATGGTTTGGCTGTACTTTAGTGAAGTACTGTATGCCAAACTCCGATCAACAAAGAGGCAAATACTTCTAAAAAAAAAGAGCAGTTACGCAGAAAAGGGTCTAATTGCTTGCCAGCAATTTTGATTTCGATCAGTTTCTTGGCATAGTGCAAATGTAATTACTCTCTTGGCATCACAGTGTCCTTTTGTTTATTGTTCACCTGTAACCACCTTGTTTGATTAGCTAATGATGTGCAGCAGCATTAGCAGTTAAGGTAATTATAGACAACTATTATAAACTTTAGAGTTTCCTTGTGCTGTAGACTGCTATAGAATAATTATCATTCTGTTAGAGTGTGAAATCTGCACAATAGGATCACAGTGTTCAAATGTAAAGGTATCATTTAGCTGGCTGATTTTAGTGTGTGTGTGTGTGTGTGTCAGTGACAATGGAAGTGAACTGTAAGCAAACTCAAATGCGTCAGCTGTTTGTCCGTCAGGCTGAATATATGGGCTTCAAACAATGACCTTTATTTGCCTGTCGTTTGGTGGTGTTACCCTTGGAGTTAAATGTGTGTGTGCGTGTGTGTGTGTGTCACACCTGTGTGATCAGGGGGTGGGAAGATTTGCTGCCTTGGCCAACTTGTGCCTCTGTCCTAATGGACCGTCCAGTGTATAAAACAGACAGCAGGAGGCAGAGAGAAATCTCCGGCTGCAGCAACAAAATCCATAGAAACTCAAGCAGAAGGAAAGCAGCAGATAAAACACTGCATGCATTCAACAACAAAGATTTTTACTAACAGCTACTGCTTTTATCATTACTGTGCTCTTGTCAAATTATCTGAAAATTCCTGCATGAACTCACACATGTATTTCTGTTATTAATTTTATTATGTGGACTTTACAATAAAAAACGCTTTATTGCTGTTGATGTTAAAAACATAGTAGTTTTATTAAGAATTAATTTTGTTGCTTTGAAGTCTAAAATAGTAAAAAAAACAGTTTTAGATGCTTGTATTAATTTAAATATAATTCTACAGTTTGTTAAAAAAATAAAAATAAATACTCCTGTACCTTGATCTGACTTCAAATATTCAGATTATCTCTAGAGGCCAGAGCAAAGAAAACATCAAGGGTCACTGGAGCTTCAAGCTAAAGAGATTTTTGGAGATAAGGGGCAGCCAGGGGTCGGGTGGGGTTCAGAAAAGTTCTTAATGAGGGGTGAAGGGGTGGACGCACTGAAAAAAGGGGCCGTTGCCATGGACACCAGCAAGAGCCACTTCATGGAACTGCTCCTTTGTCAGAATAAAAAAAAAAAGATAAGGAGGGATTTAAATGTGAAAGGACATTAGAAAAGAGGGAGAGACAAAACAAGGAAGAAAATTCCTGGGATTTGGCTTCGTGTGAAGTATNNAAAGGAAGAGTTGGCAGCAGAGATGTGTGGGTGTGTGTGTGTGCGTGCACATCTGCCCACCTGCTTAGTGTATCCCTCGGAGGAGACGGTCATTACATTTAGATATTTTTACTCCATTTTGAAATTGTCTACAAGGAAGAAAAATAGAAAAGGGCTTTCAGCTAAATTGGCCTCTTTCTTGATGTTAATGTCTGGAATTAAAAGTCTCCAGGAGACATGCTTGCACATTACTTCCTTCATTTGGTTAAAAAAAAAGAAGAGAAAAGCTGCTAGACTATGTAGGCTGTCAGTGTGAATGATGATGGAGATAGTGAGGACTGTGCGGCCTGACTCTGACCTGATGTGGACACTGATGGATGTTGGAGAAAAACAAAGAGGGGTTTTCAAATGGAAACAGATAGAGGACAAAAAGGTTGAAAAGTTTCTCCTTTATAGTTGCTGCATTTCCATGACATAAAAACATTTCACAACACACCCAGCTACAACGTAATGACTTCGCTAGTCACAGTGAAATAGTAAAGTAGGCCGTATTATAAACACAGGCAGGGCAAAACTGCAACTAAAACAGTACATTTTCCACATCCACTGGGGAATATGACTTGGATCAGAACATATGGAATGCACCAAGGTGCTAACACCCGTATTCTGACTGACAGACCGTGAAAACACAGGCACTTAGGCAGCGGTCATGGAAGAATGTGCCTTTAAATAATAATCACTCGCTCAGTAAAGTGGGAACTGATTTCTTATTCAGGCCTTCGAAAATCTGTTTGTGTAATCATTGGGTGAAAGTATTAAATATGAATGCTCTCAGAAGTACTGCGGGCTCTGCAACCAATCACAACAGTATCATAGTATCATCCATGTACTACCTGCCTATGGTGTATTTTCTTTGCCCTGGTCACAACAAAAGTACATCAAACTGCACTTGATGAGCAAGTGTACGTGTTGGTACTAAAGTTGTACTACAGGTATGAAACATGCAGAGTACTGTGTCAAGTGTTCAAGATATCCAACATCCTACTTCTCTTTCGTTTGTGCGTACGTCCACCTGTTTGTGTAATTGACAGATGCTTTCATTAAGGTCTAATCCTCCAACTAGTATTCTCCCAGCATGCTTTGTAGTTGCTTATGGCACAGGTTCCCATGAAGAATTGGGAATGTCGGCAGTGTCTACAGGTCCGGCAAGGGTCAGGGTGAGGTCAGAGGGGTCAACAAGGTGGGGTTGTGGAGCTTTGGGGAAGGGGAAGAAGAGGCCAAAGTGGGAGGGGATGTGAAAAAAAAGCAGCGGCAGTATGGAGGGTGGGGGGGAGGGCTGAGGGGGGGTCGACTTGATGGAGGCAGACAGATGGGAACAACAGAGATAAGAACAAGATGAAGGCTGAACTAACACGTGCATGTTTCCTTTAATCAGAGTCACCATTTGGAGCGCATTTTCTTGTTTTTCTTTTCTCTTCCCTCTTCCGTTTATTTCCTTTGTACTTCTTTGCTTTCCTTCCATCTCCTCTACTTCCTCAGACCCCATCTTCAAGTATCATCTTTCTATGAAGTGCCTCACTGTCCCTGCTTTATCTTCAATGTGCAGACAGACTGCAGCCTGTGTGTGTATATGTGTGTGTGTGCTTTTGTACATTCCAGGTGTTGTATTGCTTCCCCTCCCTCATTGGGGGCCCCCTGTGTTGATGTTGCTGCTGGATTCCCATCATACACTGTACTTACATATGGCCCGTGTGGAGTTGTACTTACAGCGTTTTTTCGGTCTCCTAAGTGTTAAATTAAACAGCAAAGGCAGAGGCAGAGCAGTGACGCTAATAGTAATATCAAAGGTCTCGGGTTTGGAGTCCATGTCTTTAAAGTTGCTGGAGACACTTCTCAACAACCTCACGGCTCATCAGACCACACACTCGGGCGAGGGAAGGGTTCATAATTTTGGGATTGAAATAAGGAGGAAAGCAAAAGGAAGAAAGGACAATACAGGAACTATACTTAGATGATATTTTGCCCAGGGGGAATGTTTGGAGGCTCGCACACATGCCTTGATAGTGGATTTGCGGTAGTACGGCGTTGCCTTCATGTTGAGACTCGTGCGTCTGTACACTTTACATACTCATGGAACAGCAGCAGCAGATAATTGAGGTGGGATTGTTAGAGAGGTGCAGCAGCGTATACAGCGAAGGCTGGGAGACCTGCAACCCCTGTAATTATAACAGTCAACGTTCAGCCTCGGTCTACACAGACCCTCAACACTAATGACTTTCCACTGTTGCTGTTTTCTTCTCTTCACGTCATATTAATGTGCCCTTTCTCTGTTCTCAACTGTAAATAAAAACACGCAGGAAACATTTTGAAAAGTCACAGAGACTCCTAGGATTTTAAGGCAGTTCCATTTTGAAATGAGTGCATGTGAACATTAATGTAGTAATACATGATATCTCTCTGTGAAGTAAGCAGAAAGAGATCAAAAGTTTGGATGTTTTTTTCTCACATCCAATCACAACCTTGAGTTCCACCAGATTCAGAGTTGCCGTCTAGACCAGTTACTCAGAATTCTATTGAATACACTGATTCTGTACAAGTCAGAGGACAAGGTGCACACACATGCACACACACGCACTCACATGTTGACTTGGATTATGTCCCAGAACTGAAGGTTTTATGCACTTTGGAGTATAGCGGAGTTTCTTGCTCGCTGTCTTGGCAGTCAAACAGTGTGCTGGGTTCGTAGATCCTCTGTGGCTGTGCTTTGAAAGAAAATGCAGAAGGAAGAGATGAAAAACAGAGGCGTCATAATGTACCTAGGTCAAGGATTTTGAAGCATAAGCTCAAAGTCAAAGTCAGGGGAAAGTTAGAGAAAAAGGAGAGATCACCCCCGACTCCCCCCCTTCCCCTTCCCCTGCCTGACAACTGCTTCCGTCCTGGACCTTTCTGGCTGCTTTTACTTCTGATTGATAGTCACGCTGCATTTTTATTACCTTCATTTTGGCCAAAACATTTTTTCTGTATTGCGCTAACTCACCCACACACACCGGCTGCTTGGCATCGCTGCTAAAAGGGAGGGGTGGACATGAGGTGGAGGTTGTCTGTCAACACATTTTGCAAAGCATTGATTGTTATTTTCCTTCCTATAAACGCTGCTTTGGCTGTGTTTGCATGCTCTGAGTCTATAAGCACCAATCGTGACGCTCACAGAATAACAGATCAGAGGTATTTTCTCAGAGCTCCATTTTAAATGAGCGACTGGGATTTGTGGTAACAACGTACTGGTGTGATGGTTTATATAATGGGCCTCCTCTTTTCTATGTTGCTCCTTCTGCATAAGTTGATTTCATTGCATCCATTTGGGGTTGTGTGGTGTTTTTGTTTCTTACACTTTTTTTGGCTTGTTTCTTCCTCTCCCACCTCTCCTTTTTCTCTTGTGCACCCTCTTCCTCCTCCTACTTGACCTTTCCCTCCTCACCCCTGACCCTCAACCCCCCCACCCTCCCACCCCCATCCGCTCTACAGACGCATCGAACAAATACCATATTTCTAAGCCCACGGTGTGCTCACTGCACCCAGGGGAGGTGCTGAAGCTAAGCTGCCCTTTGCCCGCGACGGGGACCATCACCTGGACCAAAGACGGCAGCTCTTTGGGCACCAACAACCGCACACTGATAGAGCAGGAGGTGCTGCAGATTCGTGATGCCACGCCTAAGGATTCGGGCCTGTACGCCTGCACCAGCGTTGGCAAAGACACGGTCTGCTTCATAGTGAATGTCACAGGTGAGTCAGGGACCAGGCAGGACAGGTCAAGAGGTCAAGACAGGTCAGGGAGTAAGGCGATGTGGAATAGTCAGGAATGACCTACCCGGAGTTGAGTCAGCGGCCATGTGAACGATAACACTATTGTTTTTTTAGTTTTATACAAACACGTCATCTCACATGCGATACATAATATGTGTAAGTTGCAGTGAGGTGGCAGTAATCATGGTTACTCTGTGCAGATGCCATCTCATCGGGTGATGATGAGGACGATACCGAGAGGTCGGAGGACGCGGGGGCAGACGGCAAGCAGTTAAGTAAGTACGGCAGGAAGAAAAGGATGCTGGGATTTAACGATAGTTTTCTCTTATGGTGGAACCCAAGTAAAAAGAACTGAGAATTTATATGTAAGATCTTGCAAAACAGACAAAAACATGTAGAATGACGAAGGCACTAAGAAGAAACTGATTTTCATTTAGTTATGTTGGTGTTCATGACTCCAGTCAAATCCTTTTCATTTATAAGCGGTGAAGGAAAAGCACTGGTCCTAGGTCTGAGTGATTTCTGTGTAAACAACACCAGAGCTCTGCCCTGCACCCACACTGTGGCTACTCTATACCTTAACATTCCTCTGTGGGGATATACTATGATACTTTGCAGTGTGTTGTATAGAAAGTGTGTGCTTTTCCAAGGCTCCAAGGAATACAGGAATTCCTGGAATTCTTGTAGCCAGTGTCTCTCAGGTAGTCCGGCATCATGGAGCCAGTCAGCCAGCGAGTCAGCTGGCCTCATCCATTTCGAAAGACAACCATCTGGACCTAGTTACCGTGACGATGGGCTTGTGTATATGTCTTTGTGTGTGTGTGTGTGTGAGAGAGGGGGAAAGTATGAGAGAAAGTGAGTAGGGGTAGTTTTGTGTTTACCCAGCCACATGCCCACATGTGTGTATGCATACATGTACTCACACACATGTTCCTTAAAATGGGCTAATGTAAAGATAAGGGCTTCCACATCTTGTTAAAATTCTCCATACGTTCTCCCTCTCACTGTGAGTCCCCCGTCCCCTCCCCCGCTCCTCAACTTTTGGGCTGACTGTAATTGTCTGAAATCCATTAAATATGGGGGAGAGAGGAACTCAGCAAGGGGAAAAATGGGGGATCGGGAAATGGTCCAGCCATTTTAGTCATAATAAGCGGTTTAAAAACGAAGGGAAAACTGTTTTGGAAGTGGACTTGCATTTTCTTGCTGTGCGTGTTTCTGGAGATCCACACTAAAATTAATACGAAAAGAAAATGGGGTAAAAGAAAGAGGAGGAGGAGGTTAACTTGGATTATTACCAGCACCTCTATAACGTGGAGCCTTGACGTCAGGCCCGAGGACTAGTGTGCGAGAGGAGGGTGCATGTAACCGAGGTGGGTAATGAGAGCTCAGGCTACAGTTTAGCTTTATATTTGTGACTCTTTTCTCTTTTGGATCATACAGAATGGACTGGGCATCAGGCCACTGCAAAACAGAGGAATTTGATTTGGCCTTGTTTTGGAGAAGGAACCACAATTGTGGGTTAAAAAAATGTTGAAAGAGAAAAGAGAGTTTAGAGTGTCCATCATCAGCACTGAGTTTTTTTATTGGAGCAGACACGGGAGAGCCTCTCCAGGGATCGGTGAGGGAAGCTGTGCTGTGTTGAGGAGCAGTTTGAGGATGAACAGCAGGGTGGTAGAATAGATTTGATCACATGATTTCTACGTTCTTTACTATGAGTTAGGTAAAGAACCTGAACCTAAGATGTAAATGTATTTGTCTCCACCATATATCAAAGATCATTTCACCAGATTAAAGGACAGTATTTGACTGTTTCAAAGATGTACGTATCACAGTGATTCTGAAGTCACAGTTTTTAAGATCGTCTGACTTAAGCCAGGCTTTTAAAATACTAATAAAAATACAAGCTTGACTGAAATATTGCTATAGAGTGGATAAAGTCCAACCTTCTTTTATGCTAACAATTGTCTTGCTCAACTCTGTGCATTAGTCACAGCCTCTCTGAACTTGGACTTCCAGCTAGTGGAGCAAGCAGATGACTATCATTGTCTGACCTCAATGACATCATAACCACAACAGATAGCAAGTCGCTTGCTTTTAAGAGCATCTGAAAAAAAAAACAGAACTAGCTTAACATTTAACAAAATGCTATGCTATCAAACAAAATGCTATCAAACAGTGTCCTCTTTTGTGTTCACACAACAGCAGATAGTGTGTAGGCTGCTTGAAAAAAAAAACCACATATAAACAAAACAGAAAAATGTGTTTTTTATTATTTTTGCTAGCGTACTTAAGTAATGGCTAACAAATTAACTAGAAACAGCTAATGTTTCTGGTGATCTAAATTGAATGGTATTCTACAGATAGTATAGTTAAGGTAAGAACTACAGAGAGAGGACCTTCCACCAGGTTATTGGATTTATCCGTTTGGTTTAGCAGTGCAAGCTGCATGTTGCAGTCGTAACCATAAATAATATTGACTGTAAAAAAGTTCCTGCAGAAACTCGAGTCTAGTCAAAATCTTGACTTAAAGCACAGTGGCTCGATAACCTCAGCTAACCCCGGGCAAGTTTAGGATAAACAGGTGTGAGTGAGGATTCGGAGGCACAAGGTTTTTTTTTTAAAGGGGGGGGGGTCCTTTAGGTCTGTGCAGTGAAAGTCTGGCTTCATCTGGTGAGAGGTCCTGGGGTCATCCTGTTTGAAGTGCTGCACCTCCGGATGGAGAGCATGGGAAACAGCAAAGCTCACCTTTCATGTCCCATCCTCATGCTTCGACCCAGTTGTGGATTTGAGGTCATAGGTTATTTCAGGGAGACAGTCCTGTGATGATCCAGTCTCCTCATCTATCACTGTCTGTATGGAAGCAGTGATGACAGGAAGATGGGTTGAAGAGAAATGAAGGGCCATGGAGGTGAAGATGTAAAAAAAAAAAAAAACACCACAGATAGTGAGACTGGGGAGGAAGAAGTAACACGAGGGAAAAACCTAATTATAGTTTAAGCAATTACTGTATGCATCCATTCAGGAAGGAAAAGCACTGTTTACTGACTGAACTCTCCAAGTATGCACGACTTGTCCGGTTGAGCATGCCAGAAAAAAAATCACAGGAGGTGTCAGATATGCAGATTGAACTGGCAGCAATAAAAGCTCGTCGAGGATGTTTGAAGCACACTCCTGGGACCTCAACTTTTTGTATGAGGGTTCATCTAAAACCTGCAGCCGTCTCATCTGTGGGTATTCCCTCTGTTGCTTGTACTTGTGCTTTGCAGTGAGTATGTGGGTTGTTGTTTGACTTTCTCTTCCCCTCTGAGCCCCATCTGCTTAGGCAATTACACTCCCAGGTGCAGGGAGAAAGGGCGGATGGGGGGGCTCAGAGGAAAGTCCAGCTGACTGAGACGTAGAAAAACTGGGAGAAAACCAGAAAAATGGACAAAAAATTATATCTTCGCAAAGAAACGACAGTGAAGCTGGGTTGGAAAATTGCTTTTGTTGGTACTTCTGATAAACACGATATTCTGTTTCTTTAAAGAAGATACGCATCCGTGGCTCTGCTGCTCATATCTAGCAGATTATCATGAAGCTAAAGTAATTAGAGGAAATAGCAAAAGAAAAAAAAGGAGGGAGATAAACTTGATTATGATGGTCTTGTTACCCTCTCGGCGACACCCAGGCACAGTGGAGCAGAGTTTTTTTTCCTTGTCTGCAGCACCTTGCTGAGCTGAAAAGAAGCTGTATGTTTTTACTTAACTGTGCGTACCCTGGGTTGTGTTATTCAGACCACGGGTCACTTGGTCTGTGTTGCACAGAGGGGGTGCCTTTGGGGTTTGAGGCTCAACTATGAAACAAGCAGAACTGTTCCCAAAAACTGAACCATAATTCTCCTTCGTTTGTAGGTGCTCCGTATTGGACCTCATCAGCGAAGATGGAGAAGAAGCTTCATGCTGTGCCTGCCGCCAACACAGTCAAGTTCCGCTGTGCTGCTGGAGGCAATCCTGAGCCCAAGCTGCGCTGGCTGAAAAACAGCAAACCTTTCCGCCAGGAGGATCGCATGGGAGGGTATAAGGTAAGATAAACAGTCGTCCATCACACTTTTTTATCGCTGATGTCAACCCAGTGCTGGCCCTGGCTGTGTCAGTGCTGCGGTCCGTCTTGCCAGTTGGTGAATGTGTTGAGAAGGGATGTCAAGACGCGGCCTTCCTATCATTCTCTTTTTCACCCTTGACTGAGAAGATGGCATGAGAGCAGACAGAGGAAATGAGGACAGGGTTTCTGGTGTGAAATTGGAACTGATCATCCGTGTGCCTGCTCTCAACAGGATACATTGCAGAGCCTCTCACTGTAACACAAAATGGTTCCTCAGCCCCAGCAATTAGACACCAAGTTACGGACTTGATGCTTAAATGCCCCCACACAGTACGGTATAGAGAAGGTACGCAGCGTTAGCGTTGAAATGAGTAGTGAATGCTGGGGTAACTCGATCATGGAGAACGGTTCCCACCAGCTTTTCTTGGAACCTGCTATGTGATTCTGTTATGAAATGTGATTTGCAAACACTGCTGAGTGGAGCAGGTTAAATATTAAACTGAAGGAGCAGGATGTTCAGCTGGTATACCTCAGTTTATATATCATTTATAAAGTATACTCTGGTGCCTTAAACTTATACGAGCTACACTATCAAGTAAAATAAAAAAATACTAACTTTTTTTAACGTGTGTTATTCCTCTATGTTTAAGAATGTTGGTCACAGTAAATCTGAATCGGAATAATTGCTCCTCTGAGTCTATTTCAATAAAGGTTCTGGGGTTTTTTTACCTTTAAACTTTTTTCTGTTAATATAAGCATCTGTTCTACATAGTACAGTTGTGCTGGTCAAGTGAGATAACAGTTGAAACAATAATGAAATTCTTTTGTAAAAATGTCAAGTGATGCCAAACAGATTTCAGGATCCAGGTTAATGCTGGACACTTTACGAGGGAACGCCGACTCATCCGCTGTCAGGAAAGTTTAGAGACAGATCGTGTTGAGGTAGCTGCTAATGTCGTTCCGATTCGATCCCCTTTGGCTCGTTGTGGCGTTAAAAAAAAAAAAAAGCCAAAGCGTGATGGAAATGAAACATTCAGGCTTTCAGATATACTGTGGGCACTTCATTTCTCTCTTTGTGTCAACAAGCGTCAGACAAAAGCTGTATGTGAGCCCTGCCCTATAGCTTAATCTCCCCATTGTCAGAAATGTAGGCCTGTACAAGCAGCAGCTATGCTCTGCCTTCAGTTTGTACACGGAAACACTATTGTTAGCTCACACCTGTGGATTCCACACACGGGTGAAATGCTTTTTTTGTGTTACAAATGATTATGAATAGCTGTGTTCACACATGAGAGGTAGAATTTACCACTAGAAAAAAAAAGTGATCTATGAGGATAACACAGGAGTAGGAGAGTTGATCCCATTCGGGTGCGTTGGTATTTTTAGGGTGTAAAAGTAATTTATGAATGTATTCTGATGTTGCACAGTCACTCTGCCTGAATAACTCTGTCATCAGGCAGAATATTGTTGCCCCACATGGTCAACTAATGCAGCTTTCATCTCTCAGTCCTTCAGCCAATTGTCCTGTTCTCAACATTTTCTTTGTCAAATTTCTCACTTTCTCACAGAAGACCTTTGTGTGTTTAAATCCTCTCTTTTAGTTTTTCCATCCATTTATTGGATTGTGTGTGTGTGTGTGTGTGTTTTATGTGTGTGAAAATGTGAATGTGTAACATTTCTTCTAATCTTCTACCGTTCACACACAGGTGCGTAGTCAGCACTGGACCCTGATCATGGAGAGTGTCGTGCCGTCAGACAAGGGCAACTACACATGTGTGGTGGAGAATGAGTTCGGAGCCATCAACCACACCTACACCTTGGATGTAGTGGGTGAGTAGCAGCCGCAGGCGCGCTCTCACGGTACACCGGTGAGGCTGAATGAGGAGGAGGAAGGAGGTGAAGGCAGATGAAGAGAGAGCAGCTGAAAATGTTCTCACAGTCAGAGTGTGTGGATAGACAGGTGCACAGTGAATGCAGGTGCAGGAGAGCGTTGCTGCCAAGTGTGTGGAATCCAAGCATGGGTCAGTGGTCCATTCAGTGAAATAGATGTAATGTATTTATTACAGCACTGATCAAAGCAGGGTGTATATGCCAACTTTAGTCAACAAAAGAGTCTGGACAGATGCGGACATGTAAAAAAAAAACAACCCATAAATACACTTTACTGTGAGTCTAAAAATGACTCTCAACGTTTTAAATCTAATTTTTTTTTTAATACAATTTTCAATGACCAGATTTGAGCACATTGTGTCAGTAGAACGATCTCTGATCTGTACTGGATACACATCCAGATCTCCTCTGTGAGGACACACTGTGCCGTGCAGAGGTCAGCACTATCGCAGCAAATTCAGAGACCACCCGAGTGCATCTCTCACACTGACCTTTGAAGCTCAGAAAGAAAAGACTGTTTTTCTGGTTGTTTTGCTAAACCAACAAATCAGGACAACAAGGGATGTGGATCGAAGATATCACCGTAGATCAAAGTGTGTTTCTGCGACAACTTTGCCCCTGAATACGGACCCATTCCCCTCTGACTCTATTGAACCAATAAACAAGCAATCAGTGCAGATCACGCTTGTATCTGACCCAGTTATTCTTCTAAAGGCCGGTCAATAATCCCATGATAACCCAGACAGACCTGCAGGAGTTTGATGGCCGAACCAAAAGGTGTATTTTATGTCACTGGTTACTACAGGAGTCGGTAGAAAACGTGTTGGTAGATAAATGATTTATTATAGATTTTTGCTCCAGGAGCCTAATAAGCAGAGACCTGTACAAAACAGCACTCACACACTCACCCTGCTCCCCACCACAGGCCCCCTGTGCTGCTCCCCTCTGGAGTTAGCTGAAGCTCTCCTTCAGACTGCATATTTCTGCTTTTTGTTCTGTTTCATAGCAGAGCAGTAACCCCCCCCCTCCCCA